CCTCATCTTTTTTCTACCTTCGTCTTTGAAACACTCTTCTCTTTAACCCGCCCCCTCTCGACTTTCTTTCACTTTGAGTTCCTTCCCCTCTGTGAAGCCTGAAGTCAACTAAAGGGCTAATGATAACCATCAAAATGTCTGCCATTTGATATAAATAAATATTTATCAAATTTTGTACAGTTTGGGACCTGAACCTAAACCTGTAATCGGTGAGATATTTTCATTCACTAAACCCCCTCACCAATAAGTTACAGATAAATCGCAGCTTGATAAGCCAATAATTGATAAATAAATGAAAATCTAAGTTCAGACGAGCTTGCCATAAGTTAATAATTGAAAAACAACACGAAGTGGCCTGACTAAGTCGTTATATCATCAGCATAGTTGCTCTTTCAGCTGGATAGTCCTATTCACCAACACCTTTATTTATTGTCCAATAATCGATAAATCACATTTAAATTGTTAATTAAAGTTATACCAAACAGAATCAGCATTGCTTTCTTTTTCTTGCGACGAAAACAACCGAGGTGTAAACTTACTACTTGCCCGTCTTTTCAACGAGCTAATATCAACATGCTTGACTATTATTTCATCGGTTACATAAAGTATCATTCGGCTAATAGCCTCTTTGTGCGGTATATTTCCAAAACGCCATCAATTTCATCATCTACACATACCTTATGTGCGCATATCAAAATAGGGAAATTGGAAGGATGGGGGAGGGAGGTAGGTATTGAAAATAAGCAACAAGGGAAAAGAGAGACAGATAAAGGGTCTCAGGAATGAACTCGAAATATTGAAGGAAAACAAAGTAAAAATACAAATATGTCAGGCTCTCTCAATCTCTCTCTCGGGCACTCTCTACATAGCAAAGCATAAATGGCAGTTAATTGGACGGAAGATGAAAAGAGTGAAAGTAATAGTAGTCGAGATAACAATGGCAATATGAATAATAATATTAAAAGATTCGTTTCAATATTCTATCTATCTAGGTCAAATGAGGACGTGAAATGCAAATTCTGTTAAATCCAACTGTCTGAGACCTCATTAGCAAAGGGGAGGTGTTGAAGAGGTTTTAACAGAAGGTGGGTGTATCATTGCTCCCTGAGACATGTTCTTTGACATGTAGGAGGTGATAGGAGGGGGTAGGGAGGTTGGTTGTGGGGACCCAGAGATCATTGTTGTAATTGGAGGGTTGTTACTGGGGTGAGTACTTTCATGAGTCCTTTTGTGAAGTTGGAGGTGATCACTTCTTGTAAAACGGCGATTGCACGTCTCACAACCAAAGGGTTTCTCACCGGTATGCTTCCTCTTATGTCGTGTCAATTCATCCGATCTAGCAAACTTCCATGTGCAGTCGCGGAAGTTGCAGACGTATGGCTTTTCACCTAGAATCCACAAAAAACCATTACTTATAAATCATTAAAATTGAAGAGAACGTAAATCTTCAAAACACCTACCGGTATGGGTTCGAACATGTGCTTTGAGATGAGAGCTCTTGGAGTATCTCTTTGGACAGCCAGGATAAGGGCAAGTGTGGAAGTTGGCTTGATTAGGGGACTGTCGAACAGTGCTGCTAGTATTTCCACCGGTAGTGCTCTGAGGAGGTGATGTAGACTCTGGTGAAGACCAATTAAGATTTGCCCTTTTGTGACCTCTTTGAGGCCTCTCAGCTGACCCACTTTTGGGCCTATAAGTGCTAGGTGTTTGGCATTCAAGAAGCTGGGGGAGCTTAATATCATCCAAACTAACAGCGTCTGCAAAGGACTTTGGGAAGTCATCATCACATGGACTTATCATCTCCTCCGAAAAAAGAGTATCTTCATTCTGCTCCTCTGGGGGAGGGTAAAAGAAATTCTCATGTTGTGTTGGTAGATGGTTAAGAGAGAGTTTTCTGTGTTGTTCTTGCCGATCTGGGAACATCATACTTCCATTTGTATAACTGTGAGCAAATTGCAACTCATCTGTTGGTCGTTGGGGGAAACTAAGTGGTACTTGTTTGGGCGGGGTTGGGCCCAGGTTTGTGGAATGTAGCTGTTGACTAATATCGTCATCTTCCTCCATATAGGCCTTCATAGAAAAATGACCTCCATTTATATTCCCATCTGGATAAGAAGTCGGATTTACGGAGAAGAGTGGCTCAGTTGGATAAGATCCACAATAGGTGGAGTTTGCTTTGCGACTACTCATTTCGTAGAAACCTGAGTGATTATCATAGTAGCTGTTCTGGTGCGCTTCTTGGGGCTGCGATTTTGCCGCTTGCCTTTGAAGACAAGGAATGGTCTGCTGTAGATGAGGACAATGTCGATGGTGATGAGATGGTGTCATGGAGAAGATATTCACGGCATTTTCTTCAACAGCCAGAGAAGTTATCTCAGATCGGGAGTTGAATTGCATGTTACCACAACAGGTTCGCGGTGCCATTGGATTGGCAGTATTAAGGGGTTGTGGTGGTAGGTCTGTATTTCTTTGAGGGTAGAAATCATTCCCTCCAGTGTTCCAACCCTTCTCATAGTACAAACTCGGCGCCTGGCCTGTGCTTAGTGACCTACCATTGGGTCCAAATCGATTCGGTGGAGATCGAATACACACCAGCATCGGAGGTCGTTCTGAGAAAGTGGAAGGCTGGACAGGAATTCTATCTGGAATTGCTGAATCACAAGAGGATTGTTCAGGCGTATTTTGTGAGAAATAGAAGTTTAATTCATTTGTTGGTGACTATAAGAAAGAAACATGCAAAAAAACGTTGACCTAAAACGCTTTATACTTAGGCAGCTTAACTAACAGATTCAGCGCCTTATTTTAAAGGTGACCGGTACATAAAAAGCAGAAATGTTTACTTAAGACAAGGTATGTTAGCCATAAAGCGCTTATTTAACTACCTGAATGTCTTACAATCAACTTGAAGGACTGTCCTTTTCAAAATATTTGTTTAATAGGTGTTATGACTACATTAAAAATGAAATAGGAACCTCCTAAGCCCATTTTTCAAACTTGAGGTTGAATTAATCGATCGATTTATTATAAGAGCATATTTATTACCAAAAAGTAATCCTACCTCCCATTTCATCCCCTACATTCTTTAAAACTCGTTAATAAATTAAATTGACAAATTACTGAAAGTAGTGCTGAGGTGGAGTGAACTCACATTAAAATTTCCAAAGCACGTGGATGCTTCAGGAGGCGCAGAAGAAGGAAAGAAATTATTCTCCAAATGCTTGCAAAAATGTCTGTCCATTTGGTAGCCTTCCATTGGCTGAGGGACACTGACGAAGGAATCACTCAGTTGCTGGCTATAGGCCGGTTGGGAAGGCAAAGAATGTTCTGGATACTTTGGTTGCGGTACACCAATCCCGTTCTCAGAGGCCATAGTCGACTGAGGGACAGACGGCCTTGTCGATAAGTTGAGACAAGGTCCACTACACGTGGACGGCGTTTCCCCTACGACGTAATTGACACCTGCCATTAGGCTAGAGTTAGGTTGTATGTAGTCATTTGAGAACTGTGGTGCAAATGCCCCACGACTGCTTGACATAGCTTTTTGGTGTATGAATTGTAGAATAAAAGGAGTAAGGGAAAGAAAAACCTACTGGTTGAACGACTATTGTGAGGCAGAATGTTCATATGAAATAAATTCACTGCATCAAGATAGCATATATACCCTCCGCACCGCATTAATAAGAGGCGTACCTCACACCCTCATTGGTGCATTTTTTAGCAAGCGTGCACCATGTAGGCGACGTGAGTGGGGGTACCAGCTGATTTGTGTTCTAAGCACGTGTCAAATAGCACACAAATTCACAAAAGCCACAATGTGCACACAGTTACACTTAATTCATCTTACTGGTTGCGCACAATTTTTGCGCGTGCCTATCTTCACGCGTGTTAATTAGTGCTCGCTAGCCATATATGCCGTTATCGATTGATCATGTAATTCGAGTAATGACGTAATTGCGACCATTTGAGAAGGTTCGATTGGTGCGTAATGAGTGCGTGCATGGAGGTGCGTTCAGCAACTCGTTATCTCATTGGACTGCGTGAACTCGCGGTAATATCAAATGTGATTTTTACACCTTCACAAACTTGGGTTGTCAAAATGCGTATTTTTGTCAATATACCACACCTTCAAATTTATGTCTGCGTTCTAAAGCAGTCACACTGTCAGGGCTATCTAATACAGGCTTATTCGTGAAGCCCATGTACTAAATTAGACGCTTAATTCTAATAAGTAGGCAACCACTGTTTTCCATACACGCTAATTACGCCTCCATTACCTACCATCTTGAAAATGAGGATATTGTTATTTTATTACTTATTAAACGCCTATTCTCAATTTTTGAAGTTTGGAGAGTTACTAAAATTTGATATACTCTAATTTCACAAGCTGTATTTGACTGGAAAATTTCCTTGTACCCTTTATTGCACTACTTTTCAAGACACTTGTTCATGTAGTTCATTAGCATGAAGAAGTAGGAAACAGGTCTGAAGCTAATCAAATAATGTTCACTTTAAGCCTTTGGAATCAGTTTTAACCGTTTTACTTAAGTGGCTGACATTACGATGGGATAGGTAAATAAGCCAATCAGTATGGAAACAGTAAAATAAGAAATCGGGATCATTCATTTAGAACCCCCAACTGAACTAATCAATAGAACTGGAGTTTCTCACAGCTGTCGATTTTGTATAAACAAGTGAGAATTTTTTGGCTTATACTGACCATTTTAACTGATCAAACGTTAGTAAAATAGGTATTACTAATACAATAATAAATTATAATTAGTGAATTTAAAGTTGAAATTCCCAGTTACATTTACCTTTTAAACCGGAAGGGAAACTATGAGGACCTAAAGATTTGATTTCAACTGTGTTGCCTATTAATTTTAGTGACAGTGAGTAAAAAGTGCTTTCGTTTTTGCACTTCTTGAAAGTGAAACTTTACCCCATTCTCAATTATATTTCTGTTTATCTGACTGGTATCCAAGCCATGTGGTCATTTGTTTACAATTCCACACACCAAAAAACAGAAAATACGACGTACTGAGTGGCTCAACTCCTCGTATAATTTCTCAACAACATCAGACACGCCCCCTAAACTACCTCATGGATTATAGGTGTATGATAGCCAATACCAACTGCCTTACCTGCATCATTAAAATCTGCACTAAATAGAGTAGTTCAAGTCAATAATCTCTAATATTTTTCCCAAGGGCTGCACCCTGGGCGAAGTATACTCATACGGAAAAAAAATCCATTATTCGGCAGTTGACTTCTGACTTCAAAACACCATCACCTCACTGCATGTCATATTCGACTACTACCACAGTACTCACCTCACCTTTTTCACTCTGCCTTTGTGTCTGTTTCTTTTACATCTTTGAAATACTCTTCTGTTCCCCCCCCCCTCCCCCTCTCGAATTTTTTTCACTTTGATGTTCCTTCTTCTCTGTGAAGCCTGAAGTCAACTAAAGGGCTTATGATAACTATCAAAATGCCTGCCTTTTGATATAAATAAATATTTTTCACAATGTCAGCGCTAATTTCCAATGGGGAAAAATAAACATCCACGTATTTGTTCAGGGGTCATAAGAGAAAAAAAATTAATGAG